TGAATAAAAATGTCTGTTTTAAAATATCTTGGATCTCGACTAAGATAACCTTAATGTGAGCTGGACCGAACCCTGTGGGTCCAGTTCTTTGTCCTCAGAGCAGAAAATCAGGAGCTGAAATACATTTAATGTCCCAAAAGTTCAATACCTCAACTTTAATTTTATAAAGTTTAACAGTAGGCTGGGCTGGTTGTTCACTCTATGGTTGATACTCTGCACCACTCCCTCAATAAGTCATAATAAACAAAATTGAGATTATTGATTTATTTTCAATATTTAACCAGTCTATATATTTGTTTCTCTGCTTCTGAGTTTTTTTAAAGATATATTTTACAGAAACAAACACTAACAAACAAATAGAAGCTTTAAATGTTACATTTGAAATGATCAATGGTTTTTTTTGTTAACAGCAGATAAACCCAGAGCCACACTGACAGCAGGTCCAACAGTCATACCATTAGGAGGCCATGTGATACTGAGCTGCTCTGTACCGCCCTCTGCTGGTTGGAAATACAGATGGTTCAGACGAACCTCAGACACCTCTGAAGTTCAAAAAGGAATAAATAAGAAAGAAAGCAAAGAAATCACTGTGAGACAAGGAGGAATCTACAGGTGTGAAGGAGTGAGAGGAAACCCAGACTTCTACACACATTCAAGCAATGATGGAACGATCAACATTACCTGTGAGTCTAGTTATTCTCCTTATAGTAAAACTTTTTACATTTATTTAAATTGTGTGCTCAGTTTAAGAGTATTTAGTATGTTTTCCCAAGTTATTTAATGTTTGTTTTTTCTTTCTTGAAATAGTTTCCAACAAGGTTGTTGTGAATCAAAAGCCAAACAGCTCTCAGATCTTCAGTGGTGAGACGATCACTCTGACATGTGAGGTCCAGGGAGGAGAAAGCACTGAGTGGACGTATGAATGGAGGAGATCTGGTTCTGTTGTACACAGCACACCCAGTAAAGACTGGACTTTTAATGTTTCTGAGTCCAGCAGTGGAAAATACACATGTCAGTGTAGAAGCAGAGATGACTGGTATTCTTCAACAGAGTGGAGTGAATCAATTATCCTGTCAGTATCTGGTGAGATAGAATTCTATTTGTCTGGATAAAAGCGTTAATTTTCTGTAATTGAGAATAAAGTGATGGAATCCTCAGATGAATAAAATCTTTTCATATTAATTTGATGTTTTCCAGCAGCTGTGTCCGGTCCAGTCAGCTCTACTATCTTGTGGATCATTGTACCAGTTTCTGGTATCGTTCTTGTTGTTCTGCTCCTCCTGTTGTGGCGCTGCAGTCAGTCCAGAGGTGAGACCTTTTTCTGTTCACACTGGATCAGATTCAAACCACTTTAATTCAACTAGTTCACATTTCTTTTAATCAAAGTAACTCAAACGCCTTTTTTACAGGTTTATTCTGCTTCAGGTCAGTTCCTCACATTTTCATTTTTTTTTATTAATAGAAATGTTTTGTTATTATATGTTCAATTTAATTGTCTAAATGTTTATTTTTTTCTCTTCTTTATATCAAGGCGCTCAAAGAGGAGCAGTCAGAGCTCCACAGGTCATGGAGGCAAAAATGTTGAGATTCATGAATGCAACTCTTCTTTTGAAGGTCAGAAATTCCACTTTCTTTAGTCATTTTTGGTTAATTTTTGTCTAATTTGTATATAGATTTTTTGAACTTTGAGGTTTATGTTATATTTTTTTTTTTACTATTAAAATCTATTTACTATTAAATCGTTTTCTAAGCTACAACATAAGCCAGAGATATTAAAGAAAACCAACTAAACAAATCTATATCCAAAACATATTTTCCTTCTATTCAGCTTTTATTCCTGGTTTCTTTGCTGCAGATTTTCACCAACAGCATCTCTATATGAATAGCTCTACTATCACTCTACTATCACCATATAATATAACTTTATAAACTGTTTGAGGTGAATCAACTGTGTGATTTTGAGTAAATAGAAGGCTCTGTATTTTGGACCAGAGTTGATTAGGCAGTCACTTCTTTTGGATGGGATTAAATTGATCTCAGACAACAAATAAAAACATCTTATGTTTGATCAGGACCTGTCTTTTAAATTCCATATCAAAGAGGTTTCTAGAATTTCGTTTCCTTTAATGCCTGGAATATTGCAAAAATAAAATAAATATACTGTCCAGGGGTGATGCTGAGAAACTAGTCCATGCATTTGTTACTTCTAGGCTGGACTATTGTAATTCTTTACTATCAGGAAGTCCACAAACTGTAGTTAAAAGCCTTCAGCTGATCCAAAATGCTGCAGCCAGAGTTCTGATGAAAATTAAAAAGAGAGATCATATCTCTCCTATCCTAGCTTCTCTTCATTGGCTTCCTAGTGGTTCCTATAAAACTAGAATGGGAGGCAGATCTTTTAGTTATCAGGCTCCTCTCTGTGGAACCAACTACCAGTTTTGGTCCGTTAGTCAGACACCCTGTCTACTTTTAAGCGTAGGCTTAAAACTTTCCTTTTTGGAAAGCTTATACAGTAGTTAAAGTGGCTCAGGTTATCCTGAGCTATCTTAGATTCTATGTATGCTGCTATAGGCTTCAACTGCTGGAGGACATAGAGACCCCTTTTTTCATCATTCTGCTTTATTCTATTCTATATATCTATTCTCCCACTCTGCAGAAGGTGTTAGTTCAATTTGTTCTTTCTGCTTTTTCTCATAGTAGCTTCATCTGATTGGTCCTTGTTTGGCTGTAACACCCAGAGATAAATATCAGCTGTGCTGCTGCCATAAACACATTTGTTTATAGATGTTCAAAATCAGCCTGTTTTTCAGTGTAGTCCTTTTTCTCTGAACGTGACTGGCTGAATGTGCTCTCTTCATCCTCTGAGATAAGTACTGGCTTGGAGCTCATCTGTGTGTTTCCTGGATGGGTACACCTGTGGAGCCGGTTGACAGTTGCCTTTTGTATTTTTGCTACTTTCTGCATCTCTGCTTCTGTCCCTTGAACCCCAGTCGGCCTCGGCAGATGGCCACTCACATTGAGCCTGGTTCTGCTGGCGGTTTCTTCCTGTCAAAAGGGAATTTTCCTCTCCACTGTTGCAACAAGCATGCTCGGAATGAGAGATTGCTTTTCAGTCAATAAGTCGATGCAATCAGCTTGTTTTCCTAATGCATAGAAAACTTTGAACCAATCTAATTGTAGGATCTGGTTGAATTGTCCTTCTAAAGTGTCTTGAGATGAGATGTGTTGTGACTTGGTGCTATATAAATAAACTGTATAGAAATTTTATTCAATCTAGGGCTGAAACATTGACTACAAATACTCATGATTAATAAATTCTTGAAAAAAATGTCAACTAATTTAATAATTGATTAATCGGTAACTGGCATGTAGGGAATCTAAAATGTGCCTTTATACCAATATTGTAAAAAACATATATATACATTGTTTAAGATATTGCTTAAGATAAAATCTTTTTCGTCTGTCAATATGCTCTATCCAGATCTCCTCAAGTGGAAAAGTTTTAGTTTCATCTGTTTTGTATTTGCAAAAAGTCTTCTTTAAGGGACCTTTTGCTAACTGATTATTCATTGATTAATTAAAAAAAATTATCAACAGATTAATCAATTTGCAAATAGTCATTAGTTGCAGCCCTAATTGAATCATTTAACCACCAATGTTGATCAGACTCTCACATATATTCATTTAGCTGGAAATGAATCCTGAAAACTGACATAAAGTCTGGATGAACTGAAATCCTTTGGGATAAACAATTCAAAAGGTCATGATAAACATCAGGATAAAACTCCAAATGGTTTAAATAGTATTTAAATAGTATAGTAAATATTTTTTTTTAATCCACCATTTGATGATCAGTGATCAACTTGATCCAGCAATGTGTCTTCAATCCCAAACCCTGGAGGACTAACTCAGATGCTTTCTTTCTTAGACTTCACTGCAACTTATGCTGAGATAAACCATCAAACCAAAGCCAAGAAGAAGAAGAAGAAGGGTAAAGATATATTCTGCATTGATCTATAGTTTTCTTGCTAATATAATTGTTATTTTCAATGCCTATAAAAGGGTTTGATATTATAATTAAATTGCATCAACATCTCTTTATTGACAGGAAAGCGGAGCTCTGAAACAGCAGAGCCGACAGTTTACTCTGGGATCAGATCAGGAGCAGCTCTGGACAACACTGGCCTGTAGGCTGCAGGCTGTCCTGCTGGAGAATGGGATTTATCTACCAGTTAAACTCATAACAACATTCTCACATCATTTAATTTATTGTCTCACACGTCTTGTCTTTTGGTTGTAAGTCTTTAAATGACACTTTTCAGCTAAACAATTTTCTCAGAAACTGCAGTTGGTTAAATAAATATCATACAGTTTAGTAGAACAAATTTCATGACGTTAAATATTCTGTTGAAAATAAACTGGGTGTTTTGTACATACCTTTAATCTAATCTAAAGGCTGCAGGGTTAGGGTGCCTTTTATGTTTTACATTTTGTTCATTTCTATTCTAAACTCATGGAGATGCATAAGTTTCATCTTCTTCATTCCTCTTTAGCTTTATTAACTTGTAGTAATAGTGTTATAGTGTTGGTGATTCTCTGGTATATTGAGCATAACTTTAAAAGTAGATCTTGGTTTAAAAAAGGTTGGGCACCCCTGGATTAGGGGATGAGGGATGAGAGGAGGAAGGGGAGGGAGATAAAGGGATGAAGGGAAGAAGGGATGAAGGGATGTAGGATGGAGCGCTAATGTGATAAGGGATGAAGGGAGGAGCAGACGAGGGATGAATGGAGGAAGGGATGAGAGGATGAAGGAAGGGAGGGTTGGAGGATGAAGGGATGAGAATAGGAAGGGATAAGGGATGAGGGGAGGAAGGGATGAAGGAAGAGATGAGGGATGAAGGGATGAGGGATGGAGGAAGGAATGAAGAAATTATGGATGAAGGGAAGAGAGGATGGGGGTTGAAGGGATAAGGGGAGGAAGGGATCAAAGGCAGAGGGTTGAGGGAGGGAAGGGACGAGGGAGGGAAGGGATGAGGGATTAAAGGAGGAAGGGTTGAGGAATAAAGGGATGAGGGTATCAGGATTGAAGGGAGAAGGAGAAAAAAATTAAAGATGACCGATGAAGGGTGGAAGGGTTGAAGGATAAGGTGAGGAAGGGAAGAAGGGCTGAGGGATAAAGGGATGAAGAACTGAGGGATGAAAGAGTAGGGGTGTTGGAGGTCGCCAATGGAGTAAACAGAAGGCATTAATTTTTGTGTGTGGGGTTATGAGAAACTGGAAAATTTGGTTCTGGTTCATTTTTCCGAGCCTCCTCTGAAACCCCAGATGGACCCAAATTCCTCAACAATATTTGCTGTGCTGTGGAATCTCGTGTCCAAGTCACCAATTATGTGATCCATAAAAGACAGTGTTTTGGAATGTGTCTGCCGGATTGCCCTGAACGTTTTCTTCTGCGTGTGTCTCATCTAAAAACATTTTTCCTTTTCTGTCAGGTCTAAGCACCTAAAACATCACACATATATACAGGGAAAGAAAGAAGGCACAGAGACAATTAGTTTAGTTTTACTCGCAAGGAGAGTAGGAAGAGACTGCAGAGTTTACAAATCTCCAACCCACTCTGCGGTCCCAGCGTTCTCCTTGCTATTTATTGGAATCAGTGGTCCCTGGTTACAACAGCTAAGACTGCTCTAGAGATGGAAAACAGCATGAGGAATTCAGACTTCCAGTCTCAGTAAACATCCTCTAAATTTCAGGGTTCAGTCAAAGTTTAAGTTGTTGAAGCTGTTCACCAAAGTTCAGCAGATTGAGTGCTGCTCGTAAATTAACCACAACCTCCCAAAAGCAAATCTACAAATCACAGTATACTTCAGAAAAGATGGCTATGAACACACACACATAGCACACAGCTTTATGCATTATAACACTACACAGATACATTAAGATACAATTATTCTAACATTTTCTCTCACGGCTAACTTCCTTTTTGAAATGTGGAGGTATCCTCATTTCAATGGCAATGAGTGTTTCCCCAGAGAAGAGGGAATCCCACTCATTTCTGAGATTTCTGCATCTCAACTTTGACGGATTTGGCTGCCTCCTACTCAAGAGAAATTTTCCCTTTACTGCAGTATCACATTTATTTGGTCAATTGCATGCAAAACTCTCACCCAAATTGTGAGGAGTACAATGGCATCAATTGTCATGAAATACTTTTGCAGACCTACAGCTTCTGCTCTGGCATCACTGGTTAGGCAGCATGTACGAAGTATTTTACCAAGGGCCTAAGTGACACTTGGTAAGTGTTTGGCTATGGGCTTCACTGCATCAATTCTCCCACTACAGCAAGTGTCAGACAAGCTGTGCACAGAGCAGCCAGTAGCTTTCTTATATATGGCCCATCTTTCTGGACTGGCACTTGCAAATTTG